AATGCAACATGGCACATATTAAATGAATCAGGAGATGTCTGTTTTCCCTGGAATGTAATTACAGAAGAGCCTCCTGGTCAGGGTATCCAGGAGAGCCCTCTGGGAGGCAGCTCTTGACTCTGAGCTAATGCCCAGCCGAGTAAACAACACTGGGGTCAGTGTCTCAGGTCATTTGTTAAAATACAAAGGCTGGGAGTCATTCCTCAGGAGGGGCTGATCCCTCCTGGGAAACAGGGACTGGGAAACTCCAAAGGGATCCTGGACAAGGAGCCAGGACTGAGAGTCACGTTCAACACCACGGCAAAGACAAACAGAATCACTGTCCTGTGTCCGCCTGGGCCGGTGACAGGTTCTGGCAGGGATCAGGGAGGGCAAGAGGCTCTTTGTGAGCCCAGGCTCCTGCCTGGCAGAGCCCCAACCCCACCCGTGCTCACTCAGGAACAGAGCCCACACCTGCGGCAGCTGCAGCAGATTGGGGAGCCCCCAGAGGTACCCTGGGCCGCCAGATGTCCACTCGGTGTGACTCCAGCTGTGCACAGGGACGGCTGCACCCGCTGCCACCGGGCCAGAGCAGCCAGCTCTGCTGCCACCCAGCTGTGCTCCAGCTGTGGGTGCTGCACCCTCCCCTGCGCAGGCCTCAGATGCACCACGGCTGCCAGATGTGCCACAGCCAGACCAGCTGTGCCCCGGCTCCAGCTGTGCACCCTGGCAGAGCCATCCCCCCTGCCTTGCCCTGTGCCCGCCCATCCAGCTGTGCCTGTCCCCATCCAGCTGTGCCCTCCCCATCCAGCTGTGCCCATCCCAATCCAGCTGTGCCCATCCCATCCAGCTGTGCCCGCCCAAATCCAGCTGTGCCCTCCCCATCCAGCTGTGCCCATCCCAATCCAGCTGTGCCCATCCCAATCCAGCTGTGCCCATCCCAATCCAGCTGTGCCCTCTCCCATCCAGCTGTGCCCATCCCAATCCAGCTGTGCCCGTCCTCACCCAGCTGTGCCCGTCCTCACCCAGCTGTGCCCTCTCCCATCCAGCTGTGCCCTCCCCATCCAGCTGTCCCATCCAGCTGTGCCCTCCCCATCCAGCTGTGCCAGCGGTGCCTGCTGCGGTTCCGCGGTGCCCTCTGGCGGCCCCGGACTCTCCCTGCGCCTCCCTCCGCCTCGGGCTTTTCCCGGCCCGTTTTATCCGCCTTTCCCTTCATTAAAACCTCCGTTACCTTCACAAAGCGGCTTTTCCCCCTCTTCAAAGGTTGTTGAAGGGAAAAGTGGCTCCGTAGGAGTTTCTGGTCACCAAAATCCCCCTTGTTATGATAAACACCCTAATGTGGAGAGACTGCACGAGGAAAGCTTTGGCCCTGGTGAGAGTAAATGTCAGAGATCAATTCCTTATTTCACCTAAAACTGCTTCATGGGAAGCAGGAATAAGAAAACAATTAAATAAGTCCCTTGCCGTGCCTCTCCCGCGCTGTCCCCTCCTGTCCCTGTCCTGCCGGCGCTGGTGGCACCGGGGGCTGATGGCAGCGCGGCGCTCGCCGCGGCTCGTCCCCAGGCTGCCGCACGCTCCGAGCATATTTTTAATGCATTTATCTCCCGGCAGCTTCCTGCCAGGCTGCTCTGGGGGAAACGGGCACCGAGAGGCAAACGCTGCTGGGACACTGCGGGCCCGCAGCCGCGCCGGTGACAGAGCCAGCCCTGCGGATGTCGCAGGGCGGGGTGGCCGCGGGACGGAGCGGTGACCGGGCCGGGGTGCTCCATCAGCCCCCCGGGCGCTGCCCAGGGCAGCAGGGCACAGAAAGGGCTCTGCAGCAGCACAGCTGGGGACAGCTGGCCGCGGGCAGGGCTGGTGGTAGGGTTTGTCCCCGAGCCGCCGCCGGGCGGGCAGAGGTCCTGGGAGCGCCTCCGGGAAGGGGGAGGCTGGACTCAATCCCTGTCTTTCACCTGGGCTGGAGTCCAGCCCCAAAATAGCCGTCCAAAAACAAGATCACATGAGAGGAAAAAAATAGCAAGGCGAAGGATAATCCATCCATACTTCCCCACTGCTGCGGAGCCCGGCAGTGCCAGCCCCGGGGCCGCTCCGGCCGGGACCCGGTGCCTTCCCGGTGCCTTCCCGGCTCGGGGGCAGCCGCGAGTGCTGCGAGGGGCCGGGCTGTGCCCCTGCCAGGCTCGGGAGGTGGAGCGAGGGGCAGGGTGACCCCAGCACATCCCTGCCCTCCCCCGGGCGGGTCAGCATCGCTGCCCCCCAGCCGCCCCCAGCGCCCAGCCCTGCGCACCTCCAGCCTCCCCAGGTGAGTGCCTTTTCCAGCATCCTGATCTTCCCACCCTGGCACAGCGTCACTGATTCCCGGGGGCTTGGCAGCGCTTTCCCACAGGGTCTGCGGCACGTTCCTGGTTCCCGAGCTCCTGCCCGAGCTCAGCAGCTCGTCCATGTGTGTGGTGCTGAGGAGAGCCGGGGTTTCCTTTCCTCTGCCCCGGCTCTGGGAGCTGGCAGGAGCAGGAGGGGGCTCTGTTCCAGCTCGTTGTGGGCAGAGCCGTGCCCCCAGGACCATCACTTCAGGAGGGATGGAACCAAAGCAGGACTGGAGGATCTCGAGGTCTCACTCTAAACGTGCAGGAAATTTTGCTTGAGTGGTCTCTGCTGTGGGACCGTGGTTTGGGGGATGAGGAGCTGCCGGGACAGCGGGGCTGGGGCTCTGCTGCCCTCACAGACACTGCCTGCATGCCTGGGGCCAGGCAGGGCAGCACCTGCAGCTTCCTCGGAGCTCCGTGGTTAATCACTCACCGTGCTTCCCAACAGCCCCGGAGCTGTTACTGGTGGGACTGGTGGGCGTGAGGTGAGCAGGCTGCTTACCACAGGCAGGGACACGAGAGGAACTGGAGCAGCAGCATCCATCAAATTCATCCCGAGAGCTGAGAAATAGCACAGACACCTGCTGCAGGTGCTGCTGGCACTGCCCACGCAGGGCTGGACTGGGGAGGGCAGGGGGGAGACAGAGCTGCTGCCAGGGCAGTGCCCCCAGCCCTGAACGGGCCCCACCCTTGCAGCGTTCCCCATTTCCACTCTGTCCCCATCCCTGCAGTGTCCCCATCCCTGCAGTGTCCCCACCCCTGCAGTGTCCCCCACCCCTGCAGTGTCCCCTGCAGTGTCCCCACCCCTGCAGTGTCCCCACCCCTGCAGTGTCCCACATCCCTGCAGTGTTCCCCATTTCCATTCTGTCCCCACCCCTGCAGTGTCCCCTGCAGTGTCCCCATCCCTGCAGTGTCCCACATCCCTGCAGTGTTCCCCATTTCCATTCTGTCCCCACCCCTGCAGTGTCCCCACCCCTGCAGTGTCCCACATCCCTGCAGCATTCCCCATTTCCATTCTGTCCCCATCCCTGCAGTGTCCCCATCCCTGCAGTGTTCCCCATTTCCACTCTGTCCCCACCCCTGCAGTGTCCCCTGCAGTGTCCCCATCCCTGCAGTGTCCCCCACCCCTGCAGTGTCCCCTGCAGTGTCCCCATCCCTGCAGTGTCCCCCACCCCTGCAGTGTCCCCTGCAGTGTCCCCACCCCTGCAGTGTCCCCAGCCCTGTGGCTCTCGGTGCAGGGCCCGGGGCCATGCAGCACGCTCGGTGCCTGGGTTTTGGCAGAGCCTCCTCTCCCCCGAGCCCGGCGCAGATCCCGCTGCCCAAGTCCGTGTTTGCTCTGTGTCTGCGTCGCTCCGGCTCCTGGCTCCATCCCGGGGCCATCGGCCTTGGGGACAGGCAGAAAGGACTCCAATTTGGCAGGACACCGTCTGCAAAGCAGGGCTGCTGAGTGCCAGCCACGACCGGGGGCGAGGGCGGCCGGGCAAGTGGGGAGGGCTGGGCTGCAGGGAGTGAGAAAATGGACCAGCATCTCCTCATCTTCCCCACATCCTCACAACCCCCGTGCCTTTAGTCCAGGAGAGCCTGAGGCAAAGCCAGGCCTGCTCTTCTGCTTGATTCAGGAATGTTTGGTTATACCTAATTTTTATTTTCTGAAAAAGCAAGATGAAATCTTGGGCGGGATTCTTAAAAATAAAGGGGGAAACAAAAAGTATATTGATATATCCAGAAAACTCCGAATCCACCTGCGCTGTGGGGAGGGCCAGGAGCTGTCCCCAGCAGGCGCTGGTAACCACGGCCAGCTCGGGAATGTTTTATCCAAACGTCTGGGCTGCGGGCATTTCCAGCCCGGAATGCCTGTCCAAACACGCTGGCTCCACGTGAGCCGCCTAAAAGCCTGTTCTGAGCGAGCTTTAGATAACGCAGCCCAAACATCGCCACATCAAAGGGCTCGTGGAGCCCGGCCAAGCGCTGAAATCATCGCTCGGGCTCCGTCAGTGCTTCATTAGTGCTTCATTAGTGCTGCTTCATTAGTGCTGCTTCACCAGTGCTGCTGCAGCGACCTCGCACCCCGCACAGCCGCACCCCAATCTGCGCCCACACCCTGAGCCCAGAGCCCACCCTGGCACCCCCCGAGCCCACCAGTGGCCCCCAGCCAGGGCAGAGCCCCGGCACAGCCCCCAGGGCAGGGCCACCAGGGCAGGGCCACGGGGAGGGCAGGGCTCCAGCGCCCGTCCCTGGGGACACGGAGCTGCATTTCATCCGCCTGACAGCGCTCCCGAACACTTCGGCTTTTAAGGCCAAGCTCGCCCGGTGCCAGCGGAACGCGGCCGTGCCCGGCATGGCCCCGGGGCTGCCCCGGCCCCTTCCCGGCAGCTGCCCCCGGAGAGGGCAGGGACCCCCATGGGGATGGCAGGGACCCCATGGGGATGGCAGGGACCCCATGGGGATGGCAGGGACCCCCATGGGGAGGGCAGGGACCCCCCGGGGAGGGCAGGGACCCCCATGGGGAGGGCAGGGACCCCCATGGGGAGGGCAGGGACCCCATAGGGATGGGAGGGACCCCCATGGGGAGGGCAGAGACCCCCCGGGGAGGGCAGGGATACCCCTAGGGATGGCAGGGACCCCATGGGGAGGGCAGGAACACCCCGGGGAGGGCAGGAACCCCATGAGAATGGCAAGGACCCCCATGGGGAGGGCAGGAACCCCCCGGGGAGGGCAGGGACCCCCTCCCCGCTGCCCGGGGCGCTCGGGGCTGACTGGGGTGAGGGAGTTCATCGCCTTCCCGGAGGGCACCGAGACACCCAGAGCCGCAGGAATGTCCCGGGCCGCAGGAAGGGGCAGGAGGGCCGATGCTGCCCCATCTCCTGGGGGGTTTTATCCGCTCCGGGGGGGTTTGGTCAGCCGCAGCCGCCGCCCCCTGCGCCGCCCGTGCCCGGCCCCGCCGTGGGGGTGGGTGCGATCAGCCTCCCCCTTCCCCCCCCGCCCCGAGGCAGCTCCTCCTCATCCTCACCATCCCCGCTCGCCCTGCTCCGTGCCGCTTCTCCCCGCGCTCCCGGGAGCCGCAGCCGGAGCGCCGCGCAGCCGCCGGTAGGTGCGGGGGGCGGCGGGAGCGCGGCGGGGCCGGGCAGGAGGGGGCTGAGCCCCTCGGGATCCCTGAGAGCCCCGCGGGATCCCTGACAGCCCCACGGGATCCCTGATGGCCCCACGGGATCCCTGAGAGCCCCACGGAGCCCCACGGGATGCCCTGATGGTCGCACAGGATCCCTGACAGCCCCACGGGATCCCTGACATCCCCACGGAGCCCCACGGGATCCCTGATGGCCACACGGAGCCCGCGGGATGCTCACACACATGAGACCCCCATGAGAATGGCAAGGACCCCCATGGGGAGGGCAGGGACCCCCATGGGAGGGCAGGAACCCCGTAAGAATGGCAAGGACCCCCATGGGGAGGGCAGGGACCCCATGGGGAGGGCAGGGACCCCCATGGGAGGGCAGGAACCCCATAAGAATGGAAAGGACCCCCATGGGGAGGGCAGGGACCCACAGGGCACGGATTCCCCCTGCAGGCTCTGGGATCCCGGGATGCTCTGCCCCTGCCCAGACCCCCGGAGTGCTCAGGGCCAGCGGGCACAGGGAGGCTCCCAAGTGCAGGGTGAGGCAGCAGGTCCCTTCCCCAGGGACAGCTTTAGGGTGGCAGCGTGCTGCTCCCCCCAGCTGGGACAAAGCCCCCCAAAACCCTGCAGGTGCCCCCAAATGCTGGGAGGGAGGAGTGGCTCAGGGATGGGAGCATCATTCCAAATGACAATCTCCAAATTGTTGCAAATTCACCTGAAGCTCTGGGTAGAAGCAGAAGCCCAGATCAGGATTTGAATAGAAATATACTAAACCCCAAATATTTAAAATGGCAAAACACAATATTTGGACCCTTAAAAAGAAAACAAACCAAACTAAAAAAACCCCAATCAGACAGAACAACAAACAGAAAGGAAAATTGTCACAGTGACACAGCACTATAAATGGATCATTTTTGATGCAAAATAAATAAATCACAGAACCATAGAATGTCTTGGGGAAGCCACAGCTTCTCTGGGCAATTAAGTATGATTAGGGATGTCCCATCCCTGGCAGTGCCCAAGGCCAGGTTGGACAGGGGATGAAGCAGCCTGGGATGCTGGAAAGTGTCCCTGCCATGGCAGGGGATGGAACTGGGTGGGCTTTAAGGTCCCTTCCAACCCAAACCATTCCGTGATGATTCCATGATTTATGACTGAAATAACACCACAGGGATTATCCTGATGGCCCTGACAGCCAAAACTCCTCATCACCAGCATGCTCTGAGCTGTGAGCCGCTCTCAGCCAGACCAAAGATGCAAAACACAAATTTCTGCAGGCTCGGATCTCCCCGCCTGGGGGTGCAGGTGTCAGGCTGAGACTGTGCATGGCCCCGGGGCCACCTGTCCCCACCACCCCTTCCCTTGCCAGCACCTGCAGCCTGCTGGCTCCTTCGGGCTATTTAGCAAAGGTGAAACCCTGACAGGGCAGCAACAGCTCCCTGTCTCTGTCTCTGTCCCTGTCCCTGTCCCCCCGACAGCAGCAGCTCCCTGTCCCTGTCCCCCCTGACAGCAGCAGCTCCCTGTCCCTGTCCCTGTCCCTGTCCCTGTCCCTGTCCCTGTCCCTGTCCCTGTCCCTGTCCCTGTCCCTGTCCCTGTCCCTGTCCCTGTCCCTGTCAACAAACAGAAAGGAAAATTGTCACAGTGACACAGCACTATAAATGGATCATTTTTGATGCAAAATAAATAAATCACAGAACCATAGAATGTCTTGGGGAAGCCACAGCTTCTCTGGGCAATTAAGTATGATTAGGGATGTCCCATCCCTGGCAGTGCCCAAGGCCAGGTTGGACAGGGGATGAAGCAGCCTGGGATGGTGGGAAGTGTCCCTGCCATGGCAGGGGATGGAACTGGGTGGGCTTTAAGGTCCCTTCCAACCCAAACCATTCCGTGATGATTCCATGATTTATGACTGAAATAACACCACAGGGATTATCCTGATGGCCCTGACAGCCAAAACTCCTCATCACCAGCATGCTCTGAGCTGTGAGCCGCTCTCAGCCAGACCAAAGATGCCAAACACAAATTTCTGCAGGCTCGGATCTCCCCGCCTGGGGGTGCAGGTGTCAGGCTGAGACTGTGCATGGCCCCGGGGCCACCTGTCCCCACCACCCCTTCCCTTGCCAGCACCTGCAGCCTGCTGGCTCCTTCGGGCTATTTAGCAAAGGTGAAACCCTGACAGGGCAGCAACAGCTCCCTGTCTACGGAGCTCCACGGGATCCCTGAGAGCCCCACGGGATCCCTGATGGCCCCATGGAGCTCCACGGGATGCCCTGGTGGTCGCACAGGATCACTGACATCCCCACGGAGCCCCACGGGATCCCTGATGGCCCCACGGAGCCCGCGAGATGCTCACACACATGAGACCCCCATGAGAATGGCAAGGACCCCATGGGGAGGGCAGGGACCCCCATGGGAGGGCAGGAACCCCGTAAGAATGGCAAGGACCCCCATGGGGAGGGCAGGGACCCCATGGGGAGGGCAGGGACCCCCATGGGAGGGCAGGAACCCCATAAGAATGGAAAGGACCCCCATGGGGAGGGCAGGGACCCACAGGGCACGGATTCCCCCTGCAGGCTCTGGGATCCCGGGATGCTCTGCCCCTGCCCAGACCCCCGGAGTGCTCAGGGCCAGCGGGCACAGGGAGGCTCCCAAGTGCAGGGTGAGGCAGCAGGTCCCTTCCCCAGGGACAGCTTTAGGGTGGCAGCGTGCTGCTCCCCCCAGCTGGGACAAAGCCCCCCAAAACCCTGCAGGTGCCCCCAAATGCTGGGAGGGAGGAGTGGCTCAGGGATGGGAGCATCATTCCAAATGACAATCTCCAAATTGTTGCAAATTCACCTGAAGCTCTGGGTAGAAGCAGAAGCCCAGATCAGGATTTGAATAGAAATATACTAAACCCCAAATATTTAAAATGGCAAAACACAATATTTGGACCCTTAAAAAGAAAACAAACCAAACTAAAAAAACCCCAATCAGACAGAACAACAAACAGAAAGGAAAATTGTCACAGTGACACAGCACTATAAATGGATCATTTTTGATGCAAAAACCATGCTGGGGTCCCAGGCACTGTGGGGCTTTGGCTCAGCTGGTTGGGAGCAAGAGCAAGGAGCCAGAGCCAGCTGCATCAGGGGCTGCCTCAGCTGGGAGGAAGATCAAGGTCTCAGCAGTGGGAGGAAGGCCAAAGTCATTCAGGGAGCAAGGGAGGAAAAGTTGATCCCCTGGGCTGGGGTGGAGCTGGGAAGGAAAGTTTATCCAGAGGGCTTGCAGAGCTCTGGGTCTGGCTGGGGGAGAGCTGAGCTATGTCCAGCCCAAACCCAGAGTGTGTGCTCCTGCAGACCCACAGTCCAGCCCAAACCCAGAGTGTGTGTTCCTGCAGCTCCACAGTCCAGCCCAAACCCAGAGTGTGTGTTCCTGCAGGCACAGAGTGCAGCCCAAACCCAGAGTGTGTGTTCCTGCAGCTCCACAGTCCAACTCAAACCCAGAGTGTGTGTTCCTGCAGCTCCACAGTCCAGCCCAAACCCAGAGTGTGTGTTCCTGCAGGCACAGAGTGCAGCCCAAACCCAGAATGAGTGTTCCTGCAGCTCCACAGTCCAGCCCAAACCCAGAGTGTGTGCTCCTGCAGACACAGAGTGCAGCCCAAACCCAGAGTGTGTGTTCCTGCAGGCACAGACACAGTCCAGCCCAAACCCTGAGTGTGTGTTCCTGCAGATCCAGAGTCCAGCCCAAACCCAGAATGAGTGTTCCTGCTGCTCCAGGCACGGAGGAAGCTGGCCTGACCCGGTGTGCAGGGAGAACAATTGGACATTGTGCTGCCTTATCAGCACGGAGCCCTGTCCTGCCTGAGGAACCCATTAAACTTTAGACCCCTCTCTGGGCAGGCCTTCCTCTCTGTCTCATGTGCCTCTTCAGCCTCCCACCCCTTTTCACCCTCCACTTTTCTTCTCTCTTCTTTTGGCCTCCCACTTTATTTTGGCCTCCTGCCCTTTTCAGCTTCTGCATTTCTTTCCCCCTCCCACACTTTCTTGGCCCTCTACCTTATTGCAGCCTCTATTTTTTTCTGTCCTTGTTTTTATTTCTGATCAACTTTTTTTTTTTTTTTTTCTCTTGCACTCCTCTGCCTTTACTTTTTTTCCTCCCAGCCTTGTGACTCCAATTCCTTGTGACTTCTTCTCACCTTTAGCCTCCATTTCTCTTTCAGTCTTTCTTGCTTATTCCATCGCCTTTATTTTTTTTTTCCCCTTTATTGTCCTCAAAACACATTAGCATTTGCACTGGATCTTACAAACCCTTTTAGTAAATATTCCCTGAAAATAATGTATATTCCAGGGAGGTGAAGGCTGCCCTGAGCTCCGAGGCTGCCCCTGGGTACCAGCACTTGTCCCTCCTGGGCACAGCAGGCACTGACTCAGAGCTGGGGCATTTTTAGGAATCCTGTGTGCATTGTCTGTCCCTGCAGAGCTGTTGGGGATTATCGTGGGGGCTGGGCCTGGCTGGGTCTGTCTTTCAAAGAGAAACCCACATGAGAAATGTCTTTGCAGAAGGATTTGTTGATAACCAGTTCAGTGGCACACAATGGCTTTGTCACGGTCTCTGCTGCTGCAGGAATCCTCCCTCTCCCCCTGTTTGAAGGGTGCCTGACTCGGTGCTCAGTTCCTAATTCTTCCCTTGTTTCCTACACCAGAATCTGTTGGTTTAAAGCTGCTGGAGAACCAAAGCAGGGGCCAGGGCCATGCAGAGAAGCTGCAGCAGCAATCAGTGACTTGCAGGGTTTCCATTCCCCAAAATCTGTCAGTGTTTAACGGGGCAGGTGGCACTGCCCACCAAGGGATGGCACTTGTGCTCGTGCCTGGATTCCAGGCAGCTCTGGCCTCCAGCCCTGAGGAGGCAGGGACAGTCTGCACCTGGCATCTGCAGTGACAAAACTGTCTGCCACAGGCCCTGCTTTTCCCTCTAAAACCTTGAATAACAAAAG